CAACCAGACATGCTTAGGAAGCCATTTCCCAGTGTAAAGCTATTCGTCAGCAGGCTTTTAAGAAATGTGACAGAACTTTCTGTGCTGAGTATTTTTAATTTAAAGGGGTATTTCACATTGTCTTAAAGGCAGATTGCCCTGTTCAATGCCTGTAGCTACACCACCTCAAAAATAACATCAATAATCTGGATGACAACACAATTTGCAACTTTATGTCATGAAAATCTTACATTTTGTTTATGAAATTTGGGTTGCTTTGTGTGAGGAAGAGAGCAGAGTGCTCTCTGAGAGCAAAGCAAGATATGGGTCAGAAAAGCATTTGTTAAATGCATTTTTCCCCCCGAATGACCAAATGGCCGTTGCTTTGATACCTGAGGGAGTACATAAACCAAATAAAACAGAAAGAGCATAAAATGGAACATTCATACCTTGAAGAGGAAAATATGTGTCAATGAAAAAAAAAATGTCTCTTTTAACAACAAAAAATAAATTTCCTTCATTAAGGAAGGTTGCTGGGGACAGGCTACTTACATGGTAACATTCCTATGCAAGCTGAACACAGCTGGGAAATCAAGTATTTGGGGCTGGTTTAAAATTTTAAGCACAGCATTCCTGGTTTGTAAAGAAAAAACTGGTCTGGACATGGGTCACTACCGGTCTTGCACCTGTGAACTTGTGGATCCAGCAGTGAGGTGTGTGGTTGGGGCTGGCCCACTCCAGGACATCAGCCTGGAGATAGGGATGAATCCAGGGACAGATTTCCAAGTGCTTGGGCACAGCAGCCACCTCAAGCCTTTGGCAGTTCTCAGTGCTTTGAGTTCTTCATCTTTTCAGAAGAAGCTGGCATCTAAAATCCTATGATTTTCTCAGGAAAACCTGAGGGCAACTATCTGCAGCCTAGCAGAAAAACTAGAGCAGGCATAAGAGGACATCTCCAGAGTCCTGGGCCTCATAGCACGTCCACTGTCCCCTTCCAGCAAAGATTCACTCATCAAAACCCTCTGCACTGAGAACGCAGGCGTAAGACATAAGGGAAAAACAAGCCCTACAATGCACAAACCATTCCAGAGCTACAATTTCTTCTATTAAAAGGACTCCTGTCTTCTAAAAGCAAAATTATTCAGTGGCCCTAACTTTGCTTTTAGAAAATTTTAATAGAAAATGGTTAAGAGAAAAATGATAGGGAAAAGTGTCATTTTAGAAACCTACGAAGTGATGGCTTTCTCAGCCTATTTATTAAATTATTCCCTGAATGCTCAGAGAATTCACAAAGAGGCACTCAGTTGTCCTTTGCAGTACTGGCCCCTACATAAGTTTTACAGCAGCTGCAATCATATGATGAGTCCAGCTCCAGGCCAAATGAACAAATAAATAAAATAAAGATGCACCCCTAGGCTGTGTCTGACTTTTCCCATATAACTATCTCCAGGATGCCACCTCCAAAGAACCTCAATGTTTCTTTTATATTCACCTACAGAAAACCCCTTCCTCTCCTTGCATTAAAGATTCAGCCTGCTCACAAAGACACACAGAAGGGGTCTCACACACACACACATACACACTGCTTTTTCAGTTGCTGATTTACAGCTTGGTAGCACAACGGGCTTAGTCTGACACTTTTAAAGGACCTGGGAACCTAACCCCTTCAGCCTCCTTGGAAAATCACAGCGATGTCCCTAGCAATAACAACACACACTTGCTCAGCACCCCAAACCATTTATTACACTTGGAAAATAGGCTGGGAGAAACCAATTAGAAGCCCGGTTCAGCATCCAGGTAAAGCATCAGCAGCAAACCCAGGCTCTGTAGGTAGGTTTGCACGTCAGCTTCTTCCCAGGGGAAAAAATTATAAATTTTAAGCACTGCCAACTGCCCCTTGTTTGTGGCTGATGGGTCGCAGCTGATAGACTGGGAGCTGAGCTGGGAACCGCTCCCGGTCCCTGCAGGGTGATGCTCAGGGCTGGGGGAGCAGCGTGTGGGCTGGGGCTGTGCAGCTCAGCGGGTGATGTGCCATCCACACCGCTGTCCTGGGCTTGCCCCGGCTCCTCCCTGCTGCAGCACATCCCAAATTCACAGGTCTGGTGCTAAGAAGGTGTGCATCTCTGAGAATGGATGGGTGGACTGACGGATGGATATGGACCGAACAACTGATAGATTTTGAAAACAAAGACTTTGTGATCTAGGCTGCTCACACCAAGAGTAACAGGCAACAATTACAGCTGCTAAACATGAGCTAAAGGGAACAGTAAGCCAGCTTGTACTGAAAATAAAAGCCATGCCAACTTTCAAATCTGTTTTCCCTCTCTGGCTGCTTATTAAATAAATGCCCTAAATACCCACTACATCCCTCTTTCTAATATTAATTTGAGACCACCTGGAAGCACAGGGCAGCCTTTCCTTCTCCCCTTCTGTTCACCTCAGGATGCTCCTCCAGGGGTTGCATTAGCACATCATTTTTGGAAGTGCTCCGGCAGCATCCACAGACCGTCCCCTGCAAACCTCTGCCAGGGATCCCTGGGCTGAGCACCCAGGGACTCACTGTCGCCCTCAATCTGTCAGCCTTATAATTTGGGATCTGCTGTTGCTCTCCGGTTAACTGTGCCCAGATATGAGCAGCTGGGGCTAGGAAACTGGTCATTTTGGGTCCATGGCTCCCAGCGCTGGAATGCTCTTTGACCGTCAGCCCATCAGTGAGGGGGTTGAGTTTAGGACTCAGCTACTTGCCTAGGTCCAATTTTGGGTAGAGACAAAAGGGTTTAGTGTTGTGTTTTATCCACAGGTGGGAGCACTTTGGTAGACAGCTGTCAAAAGTTATGCTTGTTGTTTTAAATATTGGTATACAGGAGTATATTTGTCACATTTACATCACTTTCTGATTAAAGTGCTGGGGGAGGGGGGCTAGGGGGGGAAAGGATTTAGCATTTCTAAAAAGACATGTCTGCATCCACAAGGTAAACTCCCCTTGAAAAATGTTCAGTGCCTGAATTTAAACCTTTGCATATCATTCCACTGAACATCTGTTGACCATGAAACTTCAGATAACCAACATTAACATATACACTGTTTGTTTGAAACAAAAAAAAAAAAAGGAAAGAAAAAAAAAAAAGATTATTTAAAGATTATTCACACTGAATCAGCAAAGCTCCTAAAGAACTATTTTCTGTTGTTGTTGGTTTTTGTTTGTGTGGTTTTTTTTGTTTGTTTTGTTTTGTTTTGTTTTGTTTTTGTTTTTTTTTTTTTTACCCCAGCAGCATTTAAAAGGAAAATAAAAGAAACTTTCAGAAACAAAAAAATATTTTTTAAAGTAAGAAAAATGAGGCTATTGGATTAGAACTGGAATTCCACACGGCATTCAGGATCACGTTATCAGTTTTGTGGCACCCTATTAATCTGTTACAATAAAATAAGTTGTTTTTTTTAAAGGGAAACTGTCTTTCAAAAAGGGAAAGCAAAATGTCCAACCTTGGTAGTAAAGCTTGTGCTTACTGAAAGTAACAGGAAGATCCGTGTCATCTGGTCATCTAATTGAAGAAAGATGCTAAACACAGCACAGAACCAAGCATAATAAACATGATTTTTCTTCTAACTGAGTGTGGAAATGTTTTATAGATTTTTTTCCTCCTTTCTGTAGGTGTGTGTATGCCTATCCAGACATATATATCTATTTTATAAATATTATTTAGTACTTATATAAAGCTGTCAAAGAACACTAACAAACCAGCAGGATTCAATTAGCTTGCACTTTTTAAAAATGGCCCGAAATCAGCGCGCACCCCCGCTCCATCCCAGTGCCTGTTCCCAGCGCATAATTTCAGTCTGTGCTCGGGACAGAACACGGCTTTATAAAAGAGAACCTGAAATATTAATGCGTGTTTTGCTAAGGAAGTGGAAGTCGAATCAACTTCCTGATACCCAGAGTATCTGATTTCTAAAACGGTCTGACACTGATTGTCACGGCCCCTCCAGATGTGGGGCGAAGCGCTGCAGCGGAAGCCCAGGTTTGCAGCCCACTGCTGCGTCGGACGCCGAGCTCAGCGGACTGCATCCTCCCAGAGTATATTTTTGTTAGCTGGCTGCCCGGAAGCCCTCCACTGCTCGATTTGTTTTGTGATCCTGCAAGGGCCTTCCCGGCACCGATGACAGCCCTGAAATCAAGAGCGTGTTTGCTTTGGTGGGTCTGGGGACTGGTGAATGCCTGGCGATTTAGTTTATCCTGTGCAACAGAGGTATCAGGGCCGCGTCCTGAAGGATGGGGTCTATTTCGAGAACTTGTCGTTGCAGCCTGTTGTTCACCACATACCGAAAACAATGCCTTTTTGTTACCATTCCCTCCTTCTTTTATTGCTTTGTTTATTGACATTTTCAGTGTGGGACTTTTTAGGAGCATTTCATCATAAGAGGAGCAAATGTCACAAATACCAAAATTCGAGAGAGGGAGCGAGAGAAATCCCAAGAGCACTACTGATTTCATTACCTCAATTTTGGCAAAGAAATTGGAAAGGAAAACTTCTGCATTTTACTTCATTTTGTCCCCTGCCTTTCTTACTGAAAATGTACTGGGGGAGAAACACACACACACAAAAAAAATACAAAGACATTTGCTTATTTCGTCCCCAAAAACGCAAACATTTTTAGGAGCTGGAGAGCAGAAGAGGCAATGTCCATAAAAAGAAAACACCAAATACAAAAACTATCCTCTCGCCCCTTCTCCCAGTTTGGAGCTGAAATGCCGGCCACTGTTACAAGGAACAGCCTGTCTGCTCCAGAGAGAATTACCAGTGCAGCAACGCCTTGGCAAACCAGTCCTTGTGTTGAGCTGCAGACTGGTGCACACTGTCTTTCTTGAGTTCTCTCTGAACTGTGCCTTAAATTTCACATTTTAACTCTTTTTGTGTTTATATTCAAGAATTACCATATGTCATGCATGTTGCTCACAGAAGGCTGTGCAGAATTAGTCCTGCCTCAGTCATACAGAAGCCACTGAACTTTTATTTGTATGCTTTTTTTTTTTTTTTTGAGGAGTTAAAATGTATCATTGTCTGCTTAAGCATTTCTGATGGCCTTATCACTGTTATTTCTATGCAGTGACACTTTTTTGGAGCTCATTAAAAGGGATGAAATTCTTCTCCCCATTTTAGCCCACGCCTCAAGCCGCGTAAAGCAGAGCCAGCTGTCTCTGCAGATGCTCAGCCACCCATCGCACTGGAACACCCACCAGCACAGCAGAGACGTACCAAACTTTAGGGTGAATGCAATCTAGCCATCTACCACCTCATCGACTGGATGAATGCTGCATGTAGAAGAATAGGAGGAGAAGATGCTGCAGGAAGAACTCGGAGCAAAAAGTTTGGCAGCTCATTTCCAGACTCATGCAACCCCACGGCAGAAAATCCCTCCCCATATTTCCTCCCTGTCCTCCTCTGCTCAGACTCACTTTGCAAGACCAGGACATGTGTTTGTGCAGCTCTCTTCCCACCTCGCTTACAGAGACACTGGTCTTTCACTTGGCAGGAAAGACAGCAATCAGCATAAAAATGCACTCCATATTCATAGGTCTTGCTCCATAAATACTTAGGAGTGAATTCCTCCTCCACTTTCCAGACCCCCCAAAAGAGAACAGCAACTGCTCTAACGATAACGCAGGTCAGGTTTTGTCACTTTGCAATCTCTGAAGACGACGCAGTTCCAGCTGGTTAAAAGTCAATACATGAAATGACACAGCAGTACATGGCATGACAACAGAATCCAATTTAACACAATGTAACATATCAGAAATGTAATTTTTCCCCTTTTCAGATTGGCTGTCTGATGGCATTTCAAGTATCAAATAGCCAACAAAAATGTTTTTAGATCGAGGAGCTGTTCCATTAGCATTGTCTGCAGCACTTTGGTATCCGCTCACCGCAGCGTTCTTGTTACTGACGACACAAAGCATATGTGCATGAGTACGCGGCTAGCAGCGGTTTCAATTTCCAAAAGAGAAAAGAAGCTTTTTTCCAAACTTTTGCCCTTTTTCATTGCAACACATAAAGTAAATCTGGTTACTATTTTATTTATATGGTTTAAATATATTCAACTATATTCGAACACACTGTTCATATTCTCAGCTAATAAACTCATTTAAACCCTAGTGTGTGCCGTCCGGAGCACACACATTTAAGGAAGCCACTGATTAACAAGATAACATGAATAAACCACATTTCTCAGTTATTTAAATGTCTTCCTACAACTATTGAACATCCATCATGTGGAAAAATACAGATTTACATGGAACGGCAGACAGAAAAATCGGTTATTCTTGATTATCACTAAAGCAATACAGTAAAATTAGTGAAGTGCTATAAAAAAAATCCACCAGACCACCGTGCCAAAAAGGCTTTTGCTCGTATGCTAAATCCACAGATCAAAAAAGGACAAGAAGGTCTGAATTTCCAGATAACCTCCAGAAACACGTCCATAGCAAATGGGGGAATCTGCACACCCTGACACACCAGCACAGCCAGGTCGTTGCAGCCTTCTCCTCAGCTCTGCCCTCACTGACTCAAACAGGGTATTTAGCAAATGAAAAAATTTAGAGAAAGGCTTCTGTGTATTTTATTTGAAGAATTTGGAGTATTTCCTGGAGTACCGCATACAAAATCAGAAAGGTACACTGACTAGTGTAGCACTTCAAACAAGGCCTTAGGAAGCAGAGGAGATGGGGCTGAACACACCATCCCAGTGACATACTGGACCGTGCATACTGGTCTTCATCCATGTGTATTGGTCCCGGCCATGGGTCTGCCCTGGACTTGCACCGATGTACATCTGCTGTTCACCGGTGAGAAGCAGAGAAAAATCTAACTGATATCCTTAGCCCTCCACAGCCATGTAAAGACAGACTTATATTTCTTATATTTCTTAGAAATAATGCTATTTCTTCTCCTGCTCCAAAAATGCACTTTATTAAAAACTTATTAGGCCCAATTCATTTATATTTACCTAATTCTCCCACAAACACATTAATCTTTGCACAGTTCCTCCAAGCATTTACCAGACGAATATTTGAAACAAGAGATGTCTTGTGACCATAAATGTCATGCTTATTTGTGTTGTATAACTAATTAATATCTCAGACTTCCTGCATGTATCTGGATAATGGTACTGTAAATATAAATGAAAAATAAGTAATAATTTATGAAAACCGATTTGCATTTTCAAATATAAAATGTGCAAAATCCAACTAATTAGCAAGAGTGAAGGCCAAGGTGTTTCTATAGCAACTATAAAAATGCTTTAAAAATGTTTTATATCAGGCTCATTAATGTTTGTACTCCTCACTCGTTCTGTGGGTATTCCCTCAGACACAGATTCTGCTTCGCTGCTATGTTCTGATCAGGGAGCACCATTTAATATGTTTGGCAGAGCTCTGATACTACTTATTTATGCTGACATTTCTGTCACATTCTTAACAAAATATTTGGTGTGCGGTACAAAAAGCATAATATAACGAGAATGGGATCCACCAGCACAGGGGAAACAGCCCAGAAAACTGAGAAACACCCCAGAAAACTGAGAAAACTGAGAACTCATCCTCTTTCTCCCTTCTTCAAATAGACCTTTTCAAATCGGTCCTGCCACACGTTACAGACAGACAGACAGCGAAGTTTCTCACCGCATCCCACTCTGGGCTGCTGCCAGGGCTACTCCTAACTCAGCGCACAGCACCATCCAGCTTAAATGCTAAGCAATTCGGATTTCCCCTTCCCGAACCCTGCCTTGCAACTTTTACTTCGCAAATTAAAATCGAGAGTCTCATTTCCATCTACATTGTACGCGGCTCCCGGGCAGATCGATTTCCCCGGGGGAGCGTGGCCTGAAGGTGGCAAGGCCTACCGGCCGTCCCCCGGCAGCCTCGCTCGGCTGGGCCCCACCGGCTGCTGCCGAAAGGTGGAGAGGTGACAAATGTCCTCATAACGCCGGGAGAGGGGGGACGGCAGCGAGCCATTCTTCTCGGGTTTAATTACTGAAAATCATTTGAAACCGAGGAAAAGCCCATCACTTCCACGTGGGTTATCTGAATGGAAAATAAACTTGTGCTGAATGGCACGGAGAGAGGCCACCAAACAGCATTTATTTCCAAGCCGGCTTTAATCAAATGCTAATTCCCAGCCCCTCTGCTGGGTATTAGTAATATTTCATGAAAAAGTACATAGCATTAAGTCTAAATTATCACAAACAATTGAGATAGTCGTGAAGTACTGCAGCGTTGACAAAAAAGCACACACTGGCTGCTCGCAGTCGTGGGCATTAACTTGTAGTGCCACGTGTGTGATCCCTGCAATAATTTAATACCATCAGACTGCATCGCAACTTTAAATGGCCTTAATGGACCCTATAGTGTTTTTCAATTATAGATACTGGGAGAAGTCTAGTCGGCTCCCATTACTGATGCTAATTGTAAAATACTTGTATTTTATACACTGAGGGCACTAAAATTAGTGTTTTTAGTTAACATCCAAAACTGCACATCCAGGGTACCAGAGTACCAGTGCATTTCAAAGAGGCCTTTTTTTTTACAGTGCTATTTCAAATGAGTACCAGAGTACCAGTGCATTTTAAAGAGGCTTTTTTTTTTTTTTTTTTTTACAGTGCTATTTCAATTGCAGCACGGGGCAGAATAGGCACCTGATCTGCATATCGCGCTTGCAAGAAAGCCCCATTTCTTCCCAACTTGTTAACACAAATCTCCTCAAAGGCTTTATTTTGATAGTTCCTGAATGGTGTTGTCGTGCAGCTCAATTAGAGGCTGCAGAACCAGCAGCAAAGCACACTTCAGTGCCACCGCTCCCCTGCACACACCGCTTCTCACAGGATGAGCTCGGAGTGACCAGCTGCTTCCCCAAATTTAACACCAGGCACACAGAGGAAAGGCAGCCTGGGGGTACTGAGCTCCAGCAAGCCATCTCTGAGGATCAGCAGCTCTGCCTCCGCACCGAGGCCACAGCCATACCCACCGCCACGCCAAGCATCCTGCATGCAATAAAACTTGCAGGGAACCAGCTCAAGTGAAACTCTTTAAGATATATGATGAGGATTAGCCATAAAACACTAATTAAGGATGTGCTGAAGAATTAACGGGAACCTATCAGGCTCTGCGTTTTATTTCCCCATCTAAAAGTGTTGCTGCTCTCCATGTAATGAAAAGAGAAGTTGACCAAATGGATTTGTTTTTTTTTTCTCCTTTTTTTTTTATTTTTATTATATTTTTTTCCTTAGCTTATTTTGTAAGGGCAGGTCATTAAAGAAGGAACACAGCCAGAAAAATCTCTTAGTGAAGGCTCATTACATTTTTCAAGCACAAATAAAGTGTCACTTTAAAAGGAAATCCAGTTACTCTGAAACATTTGTCGCTTTACTTCAGTGCGTGTGAAATGAATACAGGGCCCAATGCTGCCCTCGGCTTCTGTAATTTCCGAGCAGCTAGACGCTTAGAGACAGCACTATGTAAAAATATGTACATTGTTTAATTTATTGCAGTACGTTACCATTTTTCTCATGAAAACAAACAAACAAAAAATTCTAGCAGCTGGTTCCAATACCGCCCACTTTGTTTAAATTTATAGCGAAAACCAGCAGCATCATTAAAAACAAACATATTGCTCTCCTCCAAGCATCCTATAGGCACAGCTCACAGGGAGATGTGTAACTATTGTAAGAGGTCCAGGAGCAACCGGCCAGCTTGGAGCTCAGATCTGAACCTCAAGCTAGGTTTTCCAGGACAGAAATAACTAAAATTTTATTCTTCAAAACAGTTTTCTGGAAAAGAATGTTTTGGACAGAAAAGAACATCTTGACAGAAAATTTTCCATTTGCTGAAATGTTCCAATTTTCAGCTGAAAACTAACAATGCATCCTGTAATTGGGTTTGGGAAGCCCGTGCACTGAAGGGCTGCTCCCCACTGCCAGTCCCTGCCCCGCCAGCCCTCCTTCCCTGCGGGGAGGACGAGAGGGCAGGAGGACGGATGGAAGAGGGAGAGAAGGGAAGCAAATGAAAACAAACATATTTTTTGCTTTCAGTTCCCTCCTCCCAACTGATAAATGATGTGAACATTTTCCAACGCTGTTTCGGTCAGGCTATTAATCAGATGTCTTTGAATGAGATAGATCCTCAGGCTCCTTCATGGAGGAAATAAACACGGTCTTTTCCTCATTCTTTCCTCACTGAAACTCCCTTCCACCGAATCAGTCTCCATGGACAGGAACCCTGGCAAAAGCAAAGAGATGGCTCGCAAAAAAATTGGGGGGAAAGGGGCAGAATCCTCCTACAGTTGCAAAAATACCCAAAAATACCCATCACTCTGCAGGGCCCTGCCTACAGTAGGGAGCCGCTCGCACTGGGTGCCCCTAAGGGCTGTCTGCAGCCTCATTCTTCCAATAAACAGCATTTGAGATCAACCATCACCTGCCTGCTGGCCAACCCAGCAGCCAAAAAGCCAGAGCTATGTTTGCAGCCAAAGATTTCCTTCTTGTTTCCATTTTTTCTTATCGATTCTCAACCTGACACCTGACTGTCGGTATTCTGCAAGCAACCATGAGAGGACTGACCAAGGGTTCTAAGGAAAACAAAAATAATTTAAATGCTTTCATGGGTATTCTGGCAAGGAAATAGAATGGGGAAAAGCAAAAGGAAAAGCAAAAGTTTAAAGTTTAGTGCAGCTGGTACTTGGCTGTAATTAAAAACATTTTGGCAACAATTCATAGGATGGTCCCTTGGACTAATATTTATTTCCAGACAAGACAGGTGAAAAGGTTGAGCACCACTACTTAAAAAGGCAAAATAACACGCTGTGAAACTCACCAGCAATCACACCAAAAGTCTCAGTACCCACCGAGCACACAGAAGAAAGCTAAGCCTTTTTGCAGCCCTCACCTGCAAACATCTCCTTCATCCTTAACTTTAGACAATAGAATACTGATCTCTCAGAACAACTGAGATGCACAGAAATGAAGCCTAAGGTTGAAGGAGAGCCTGTACATAAAGAATGGCAAAACTCAGTCTTGACTCATAAAACACGTAGAATATTCCTAAGCAAGAAAAATTAAAAATAATAATAAATAATAATAAAAAAAAAAAGCTTTAAAGTTCCTGCCTTAACAGTGATCTAGCAGGTCAAAATTAAGATAAGTGTTAGAAACTACTAGAAAGAATTTATAATGTGAGCTTCAAGTTCTACCTTTTTCTTTTTTTTTTTTTTTTTTTTTTTTTTTTAAATATAGGTACAAAGTACTTCAGAATTCAGGTGCAAAAAAAGCACTAAAGCTCAAACCATCTCTGAGGACAATGTCAAAACATGGTTCATATCTAACTCCAGGTGCTTTGCTCCTGTTCCTGAAGTTCTCTTATTTAATTAATTAGTTCATGTATGCATTTATTCCCTCATTTGCATCCCTTCATTTATACTTAGAACAGTTGGGGGATTCATCTACAAAGCTTTTTTTTCTTTTTCCAAATATCTTTGGGAAATAGTGGAATTCAGTTTTTCTATGCAGCCAGCATCACATGCTGCATGAAGTTAACCATATCACCCGTACAAAAGACGTAACTTCATATTATCCTGCTTCACATTTCTGCAGCTGCTTTGCTCCCAAGTTACACTAGTTTCCTCCGTGATATGCCATCCTTTATTTATTACAGCATATTTACCCATGTGTTTTTTTTATTATTATTATTTTTTTTATTGTTGGCCTGGCTGTTACTTCTTCTTTAACCTTATTAACCCTTGCCAGTATTTGACAGCTTAACACCCTCCATTACTCCACAACATGCGCTATAAGAACTGACATGGAACTAATAGCAGCCTTTTTATATCCAATCTATGAGGTCACATGAAACTGCCCTCGTCTGAACCCTGCAAGATTTCCTATAGGAGGCTCTTCTTTTCCGTGGATTTTCTACTTAGTATGTCTTTACAGGTCTGTCTGAATGTAAAAAACAGAATCAGATTCCTGCTAACTTTCGTTACTGACAATGGATAGCTTAAAATAGGAGTAAGTTTTCCCTTTGCCGAAAGCTCCCAGTAATGTGATTTGAACAACTTTGTGATATTCTTTTCAAGCATTACGTGCCACTTTTTAAAGGCACACCCACAGATCTCCCACTTAAAGGGGGCTTTGATTTTCCCAGCAAAGTGGTCATACCCATCCCCTGAACCTCAGCTCTAAGCAGGAAATTAAAGCAGCAGCACATAAGGTTGAGGTGTCTAGCTCAGTTGTTCAGCAGGTTGATTAAATGTAATGAATTTAGGTCTGGATCTTCAGGGGACACTCATCACACTGCACTGTGCAATACCAAGCTGTTGTTTATCCTCATTACTGGGTCTGTTGGAGCTTTTCCCCAGCCTGCATAGTTGACTCTGCACTAAAATTCATGACAAGATTCTTCAGCTGCAGGAGGATCCGTGTCATCAACACACCAGTGCAAAACAGCTCAAGCACTGCGTGGAGCAACAGCAGCCAAGAAAGTTAAAGCAAACTTCTGGGGCACTATTGCTCTGAAAAGATGCAATGAGAACACCGGTTATTTCTCTAGTTTTCCTTCTAATGGGACCTAAATAGCAGGAAATGTGTTTTGGTTTTGTTTGTTTGTTGTTGTTTTGTTTTGTTTGTTTTTAAGCATTTATCCTTAGCCAGTACAACAAATTAATTTTTACTAAAAGGAAAAGAAAAGCATGATGAGATCTACATTGCTGAGCAAAGAAATACATGGAGGACAAATTGAAATTTAGGAGAATAAGTTTTAACAGCCTTTCTTGTGGATGTAATACCTGCTTAGACTAGTCTCCGATTATCTATTTTAAAATTAAAAAAGAAAAAAAAGTATTCCTTCTGTGCAAATTCATCACCCTTATTATTGCTATTCTAAGTGCAGCAAAGACCCTGGGAACTAAATTCTTGCAACTTCTTTGGGGAATGGCTCTTAGTTCAGAAGTCCACCGTTTCCCCACCCAATTTCAATTTAATAGCATATAGAGTGATAAAGTGGGAAGAGACAGACATCTGGTAGAGCTAGCTAGTCATTTGCTGGTTCTGTGAAAGTTTGTGCTTCCCAGTCAGTGTCACATATGAGAAATACAGATGGTCCCAAGATAGAAAAAAAGAAGTGTTGAAACATATACAAATGTTATGAGGACTTCAAGTGCAAAATGTTAACCAGCTGTGAATGTGACATCTCTAGTTTTACTAAATCTACTGAGATACATCATTACTGCACATGAAATCTATATATTTTCTGTACTGATGGCAATTTCCCTGTTTTCCATTTGTTTCTCGTTTGGGGCCAAAAACCATCCAGATGAGAATATTAAAAAGATAAGAGTCCAAAACGAAAAAGCAAAGTGCTCTCCATTTCGAAGCACTGTTTGTAACTGCCCCAAACATTTCCTGTGATACAAGCTATTTACTGGGGGGAGGACAGAAGTCACAAACATCTAGAGTTAAAAATATTATATAAACGTTAAAACAAAAAAAATCAAAAGGTTACTAATTCACACAAAGTCCTAAAGATTTAGAGTCATCCATTCTATATACAGTTCAGTAATGCATGGAATGCAATAAGACATTTAAACCACAACACAGCAGTGATCTTGCCCTGTTGCTGGCAGTATCAGTTGTTTCCCACACAAGGGCCTAAATCTGACCCTTTTATGAAAGTTTTACATTTGTAAAAATAGAACAGTTGGGAAATCTTGGGCACTTCTAGTTAAATTGCAAACAAAATAACCCTCTCTCTGCTGCTGCTTAAGCTTTGGATAATCATCGCATATCAAGACAATTACTTTTTCCCCTCATATGAGCTGTTTTGACAGAGCTTTTCAAATGTTATGTACAATGCAACCTAAAAGGAAAAGAAAATGTATGCTTCAGGATGCATTAAGGTGTACGAGGAGGAGGAGAGGCAGGGAAGCAGACAGCGTTCCCCTCCCTTCTCCGTGGACAAAAGTGCCAAATTGCAACGCCTGACTTGGGCATCTCGCACCAGTGCACAGCATCGCGACTGACACAGGGCAAAGAAATCACCCATGAAAAAACACACAGATGCATTGCGACCTGTGAGGGGGAAAAGCAGCAGTCGCAAGGCGCTGGCCACATCCCCTGCATGCGTGGTGTGTTCCCCACCTCGCCCCATCCCATCCAGGGCCTCCTGGGAGAAGGGAGATGGAAAGGATCTCGTGTCTGGCGGCAGCGCGGGCAGGAGCTCTCGGCAGGAAGGTAGGAGGGCTGCTCTCAGCCTTCCACCCCTGCTCCTCTCCTGCTCAGCTGGAAGGAACCGCTCCCTCCCCAGCAGCGGGTGGCACTGAGCAGGGAGCCGCTTTGGGGTTTTTTCTCTGGTTTGTTTGTTTGGTTTTGCTAGGGGTGGAGCAGCGCTGGAAGAAAGTCAGATTCCCTGTGCCCCTTCCTAAAATGTAACTGGGAGCAGGGATCAGCCTCTCTCACCCTGAACTGCCGGGAGGCTTTTCTTTTCTATTTTTATTTTTCCTTTTTATTTTATTTCCACAGAGGGCAGAGAAGAAAAATAAAAAATAAATAAAATAAAAAAATAAGAAAAAAAAAAAAGAGAGAGAGAGAAAGTCCCAGTTTTAATTGAACTGGTAAAATATTATACTTTTGGTGGAGTTTTACACCCACCATGGACCAGCCTAGGTGACTACAGACCACAGAGCCCTGAGCCAGGACCAGGACATTGTGGCTTTGATGCAAGGGACAAGGGGAGTTCCCAGATGGCACAGGGCTGGGGCTTCAACTGCAATGCAAACCCCATTTCTGCAGGGAACAGAGCTGCCGGTTTGGGATCCTCTCATTAATGGATTGTTTGCCTGTTCTTATGGACTTTATTATGACATTAGCTTGCTTTAAAATGTTATTTGTATAATTAGCTTTCCAAATGAGACCGTTCAGCTAACATATTTCTTTCAACACCCACAGCAAAATTATCCTGAAATGACATCATAAACTTTTTTAGATCATTTTCCTAGTGATTTGTGCATCCGAGCCAGGAAGTTTTTACCTGAACGAATGGATGGTAGCACAGGAAGAGGTGAATTTGCCTTTTCCTATCAGTCACAGAAAGATGCATTTCATAATCCTCTGTCATGTGGTAGGGCAGCATCCCAGTGACACCAGCTAACAGCAGGAAAACACACTGGGATATCCCTTGAAGGAATAAATCCCCTTAATGCAAACTGGGTGCATAAACACATCTGTGTG